GGCAACAAGTTCACCCGTTGTTGACGGTGAATATGTCGTCACGCCCATTCCTGGGGTTCTCCTGGTGCGCGACATCACTGTGTCACACTCCGTCGTAACTATGGCCTCTAACCGAATATGTCTGCCCATTATCAATTTTGATTTCACGCAGCAAGTACTACCAAACGGAATTTCAGTCACCGCGCTTCGACTTTTAATAGACGCCCATGTCACCGTTTTTGTGGCAGACGCATGCTTCGATCGTCCATGTCGCCCGCAGGATGCCACATCCCTCGATTCGGCCTTGCACCCCATGATCGACCCGAAACTCAAACCTGAGCTATCCGATGCCCCATTCCGCTTTCTGGCTTCCTACCGCGACATATTTGACACCGACGGCAGTCAACTCGGTCAGGCTTCTGTCGTAAAGCACCGCATTAATACTGCTGATTCTCCTCCCATTCACCGCCGACCATACCGGGTGTCTGCCACAGAGCATAAAGTAATTCAAGAAGAAGTTAACAAGATGCTAGCCAAAGGAAATATTGAACCCTCTTCGAGCCCTTGGGCATCTCTCGTTGTGCTCGTTAAAGAGAAAGATGAAACGTGGCAATTCTGCGTTGATTACCGCCATCTTAATCGAATTACGAAAAAGGACGTTTATCCTTTGCCCCGAATTGATGACGCCCTCGATTGTCTTCATGGCGCGCGATACTTTTCTTCAATTGACCTACGTTCTGGCTATTGGCAAATTGCGGTGGATGAGAAAGACCAAGAAAAGACTGCGTTCGTAACTCCCGACGGCCCATACCAATTCAAGGTGATGCCGTTTGGGCTATGCAACGCCCCAGCCACATTTGAGCGTATGATGGACTCGCTGTTGCAAGGGTTCAAGTGGTCAACATGCCTGTGCTACCTGGATGATGTCCTCGTATATTCGCCTACATTTGAGACGCACCTTCAGCGTTTGTCAGCGGTTCTCAACATCTTCCGCACTGCTGGCCTTCAACTAAACTCGTCGAAATGTCACTTCGGCCGCCGCCAGCAGACTACGGTGTTGGGCCACCTTGTCGACGCATCAGGTGTGCAGCCTGACCCAGAGAAAATTCGTGCCATCACGAGCTTTCATGTACCCCTGTCTGTCGAGGATGTCCGGAGCTTTGTGGGAATTTGTTCCTATTTTAGAAGGTTTGTGAAAGATTTTGCAGTAATCGCTCGACCACTCACTGACCTTCTGAAGAAAGACGTGACTTTTACGTGGGCTTCCGCTCAAGCTGCCGCTTTTTCTCAACTCAGTACCCTCATCACGACTCCACCTATTTTGGCGCACTTTGACGCGAGTGGTCACGGGATTGGAGCCGTCCTAGCCCGACGCCATGGGGACACGACCGAGTCATCGCATACGCTAGCCGCCTTCTCACAGCTGCCGAGCGCAACTATTCAATGACAGAACGTGAATATCTTGCTCTTGTTTGGACCGTTACGAAGTTCCGCCCATATTTATATGGCACGAGCTTCTCAGTAATAACGGACAACCATGCGCTATGTTGGCTTTCGTCACTGAAGCATCCTACTGGCCGGCTCGGGCGCTGGGCTCTGCGACTGCAAGGGTATACCTACACGGTAACGTACAAGTCCGGACGCCTACATCAGGACGCAGACTGCCTGTCCCGCTACCCGGTTGCTGAGTCGAGCTCTATGCCTGGCACCGACACCGAGCCTTGCGTCTTTTTCCTTTCGCAAATGACATGCATCGGTGACGAACAACGCCATGATGAGTCCTCGCGTGCTATAATTGAGTGCCACGAATCACGATCTTCCGATCAGTCCTATTGTTAATTTGTGCTCCACGATGGTGTATTATACCGCTAAAGTTTTGAGCCGGATGGACCGGCCCTGCTGCTTGTCATTCCGGAACACCTTCGCTCGGAAGTTCTACATGAACTTCATGACCTTCCGACTGCTGGTCACCTTGGTGTGTCACGCACTTACGACCGAATACGCCGACGCTTCTTTTGGCCAGGCATTGCATGCTCAGTCAAAAGATAGGTTGCGGCTTGTGAGAAATGCCAGCGCCGCAAAACGCCATCGACGCTTCCCGCCGGATGCCTTCAACCACTTGACATTCCGTCAGAACCGTTCTTCCGCGTTGGCTTGGACCTATTTGGCCCTTTCGCCCTGTCTTCCTCGGTAACAAGTGGATAGCCGTGGCCACCATCTACGCCACGCGTTATGCCATCACACGAGCTCTTCAACAAGCTGCGCCACAGATGTCGCCAACTTCCTCCTCAAGAACGTGATTTTGCAACACGGAGCCCCACGGCAGCTGCTTACAGACCGTGGCCGCACCTTTTTGTCGAAAATCATAACCGACATCTTGCAGTCTTGTCAAACGAGACACAAGCTGACTACGTCATACCACCCGCAAAGCAATGGGCTCACGGAGCGTCTAAATCGAACTCTTACAGATATGCTCGCTAAGTATATTTCTACTAATCATACCGACTGGGATCTCGCGTTGCCGTACATCACATTTGCCTACAATTGTTCTTGCCATGACACTGCCGCCTACTCCCCATTTTTTCTGTTATTCGGCCAAGAACCTACATTACCCCTAGATACAGTCATTCCGTCTACCACGACATCGACCAGCGAATATGCCCTTGACGCTATCACTCGGGCTGCGAACGCACGCGAAATCGCACGCACTCGCTTCCTGGCCTCTCAAGAGAACCATCGGCGTTTGTACGATCAACGGCACCGTGACGTGCACTTCTTACCCGGTTCATTGGTGCTGCTGTGGTCCCGACCTGTCAAGTCGGCTTGTCAGAAAAACTTCTTTTTCGCTACACGGGTCCATATCGAGTCCTTCGTGAAATTACTCCTGTGACATACGAAATTACCCCTGCTGCCCCATCGCCTTCAACTGCCTCACAAACCACCGATATTGTACATGTGGCACGCTTGAAGTCTTACAACTCTCCCGCTGACGTTGACATCTAGATGCGCCGAGATGGCGCTTCTGCCGCCGGGGATTATGCTGTATGCATGTTGATATTTTGTGGGACAATGCGTGTTTGCCTGACGAAGAGGAAGAAAGATGCTCTCCACTCGTTCGCTGGTGAACCGGTCACGCCATTACTGCTGGTTTTAAGCAAATCTCTTCCACAGCCTTGTCAATACGGCGTCATGTCTTATTCGTAACAATACCATGACATGCTTGTCGTGTCAGTGTAATGTTTTAGTTCTACCGCACAACGTGCATGTTCAGTTATATGCTTGGTAGGTCTGACGAGTCACCTCAGGACACTTCCCAAAGGACGGGTCTGTTTGAAGCAAACATTTACCAATAGCTCAAGATTACGTAACCCCAGGAATTACAACCGATCGTACCCCTCGAATAAAGTTATAGAAATATACAAGCTATATTTTAGTCTCAAATAGTCAAGTCCTATCGCAGAGTTCGTACACAGAGTTGGTGACGGAGAGTCAGGAAGGAGCAGGGTCTCCCACACGTCGTTGGGTAGAAGCCTGGGCGTGAAGCACGGGGGTTGATGCTGTCGTCGTAGTTAGCGTCGGCGTTGACCAGCTACATGAACGGCAGGATAAGCAGCCTTCCTGGGCTGCCGGTGGACGCTGGACCAGCTGACACCGCATTTGACACACTGACTATAAGGTAGAGTCCCGGCCGAACAAATTCGTCTGAGCTCGAGCCTGAAGTACGATAGCTCAAACCTGTCTACGGGCACGGGAACGTCAGCGCAGCTAGGTAGCCCTGGAGCCCCTCAGGTCACTGGTTGATGGAGGCAGCAGCCTTGGCGAAGGTCAGAAACCCGACCGCCTTGATGCGTGGCTCGTCTTCCTCCGGCCACTGCTGCGACTCTTCTTTCTTTTCTCTGTCTCGCGTGTGCTTCAAATAATTGCGTTGATTGCGTCTGTGTTGATTTGGCACTTCAGTCATTTATTGCTAGCTTATTCACGTACGTGCTAGCTTCTATTTTGCCTTCCAACTCGGTTCACGACGTGCACTTCAAATTCCGCGCACTCAATTTGTTTTAAGTTCCGCGCACTCAAACCACTGTAAATTTCGCGAACAGTAAGTTATGAATACACGCCACGTTTAAGGTGCACTCGTCGCCGTCTCACTAGCTTGACACATACCAAATCTGGTATAACATAGCCCAAACGGAAAATAAAGGTAAATGACATGACCAAGCATGATAATCATAGCTTGCGTGTCATGTCAACATGACTACATTCTGCTCGCATAACGTGATCGCGGCCATTTCACTAGCTTCACTCATACCAGATTTCGTGTTACGTGACCTGAATAGGTGACGAAGGTATGACTGGTGCAAACATGATAATAATGACACTCATTTCATGTAATAACACGATTACATGTTACGCTCATAGCCTGCTCGCAGCCATTTCGGTAGCTCCAGATATACGAAAATTTGGTATCGTATGAGGTGAATAGACGACAAAGGTAAATGACACGCCTTGACATAATAACCATGACTTAAGTTTGATGTACGTAAAACGTGACTGCGTGCTACGCTCATGGCGTGGTCGCGGCCGTTGCGCTAGCTCAACATATCACGTGGCATGATAGTAAATTTGGTATCACGTAGCGGGAAAAGAGGACGAATGTAAATGACACATCCAAACATGCTAATCATGGCATGGAAGTCATGTACGGCATAATTTACGTCTATCTGGTGAGGTTGTGCTGAATTTAAAGTGACATATTACCAACCTCATTCGTGCTTCGCACATCATCTGATTCCCACAGGGTCTGCCTATTTTTTTTCTTTGACATTTGTTGGTACCTATTTCACAACGTGCTATCCGTGACGGAAATACGTCAGCAGAGTCGTGGTGGAACCCGGCTTAAAACACTTTCGGGTTAGAAGACGTACACTCAGAATTTGATTTTTAAGGCTCTGTTGTGGCCACTACTAGAGCAAGCATTTCCTCAGCGCTCATGAATCGCTGTTTAAAAATTTCGAGATCCTTACTTGAGTGTTCTGGGGCACCAGAAGGCGGTGCGATGGCGTCTGGCTCGTCAATCGTGAAGCTGACGCCGCAGTTCTCTAGCAGCATCATGTCGGTGTCTTCGAGAGTGTTCACTTGTATTGGTGCAGCACCACGATGCCTTGTGCTCCGAGGGTGTAATGCAGTGAAGCGCACCAAGGTCTCGACTGTGGCGCCTGCGGGTGAGCTTGCAATGATCTCGGAGGGCCCCACTTCTTGCTCCAGCTGTCCAGCAAGCCGATCACTTAGTGCTTCCAAGAGGCAACCAACTCGCATTACCGATCCTATTTCATCGTCCTGTGCAAGAAGGTGCAGGGTGCCGATTATCAACAACAGTGCAGCTCATGACATCGGGGCAAGGTGTTTTGTATAGCTATAAAGTAAAGACCAAAAAGTCATTCGAGATTAGTTTTTCATCATTTGGAAATTGTTACGAAGTGTGGACCTGGGCATGGCAGGTGGAGATGTGCAAAGTTCAATGGCGTGTATGGCTCAAATGCAAGTCTTCACTATCTGTTTCAGTAGTTCCGTGCCGCACTGTGGAAGCTGCAGGCCTTCTCAACCATTAAAGAGGGTGAGCACATTTAATTATATTGTTCCGCGCCCTGTCGCCTGCAAGCTGCAAGAGCTTCTAGCGGTGACCTTGCGCAGTGTCACAATTTTTTACAGATAATTTGTGAGCGACTTTGCAGCACACCTTGATCAAAGAGGTACAGCAGCTTTTTTTAACGCTGTCTCGATATGTAAAAATATCATAGCGTTAAACCAAATAACGTGTTCTAGAGCTGGCGCCTGGACGAATGGCCCCAACTATTGGTCAGAAAAACTAACAAGCGTGCATTGTATGCCCTCCGAGTTTGGCGAAGTGCTCATTGCCACTCGCCAAGCCTACTACATCAATTAATATAGTTTGGCCCTCAAAACTATTGCTGAATCTATTTGAATAGTGTGTTGCCGAAGCTTAAAGACATGAATCTATACCGAATGGAAGCATCAGTTGGCAGCTTACAGGCTACAAAGCGCACGACTGCCACTTCATAGATTCGAGATGAGCTAAAACTGCTAACGGCAGTGGAGCTATGTTTTTCAGGCCGAACTTCGGTTCCTCCGCGGTTCTGTGAAGTCTGTGGCTGTGTCGACTGCATGTAAAATTTTAAGCATCTTCTAATCATAAGTGTGTACTTTACAGATGAACAAATAATGCATACCAGGCGCAGTTGCGTTATTTCTTCCGATAATTATATGTTATACAATGAGTCAGTTTTTTAGAGACAAACTAATTTTCTTTGAAAATGGGGCTATATCACCAGGAAGGTCGCATTTCCAAAACACAGAGAAGATTTCAAGTATAAGTGCTCTCACGAGACTTCTTGTAAAGGTTATGAAAAAGGGTAACAGGCTCTCAACATGGGCACTACATCTCGCTTCACAAAAGTTTGCGCTGTAAGATGACGTAACCTTTGCTCTGCTACACCAAACTACTGAAATAGGTTGCACGTGCAGCCTGAGAAATGCGTACGCCCACAGTGAAAACGTCCTGATTGAGTGCGCCGAATAGGTCCACTCAGGCTGCGGAAATTCTGAGTTTCTTGTGACTGGTTGTCACACTATACATTATATGCTCAGCAGCAATACACTTTGAGGAAATTCAATGCAAGATTGAATTTATTTTTATTATTAGCTTTTAGGCAACCCTAACTTGAGTGCATACTTTTATATTTGCTGGCAGTTACAATGTTCAACAGTGAAAGCGCTTACTTTTATTGATAAAAAAAAAGTAACCTTAAAGCCTCCTATCATCTTTGCGCACTCTAGCATAAAGTGACATATAAGTCTACTGTTGCAGCATTATAAAAAAATTTATATTATAAGTGTGCAGTTGCAGCATAATAAAAACTATGTTGCATCAAATAAAAATATGTTGCAGCATATAAATCTACTGCTGCAGCATTATAAAAAAAGTTTCGACGTTCCTACATCTTTTTCGATGACGCACAGGCCTGTGAAGTCGGCTATAATGTTCTAACACGCAATCTGTCACAGTACAAGGGATTATTTTATTGCCAAGAGCGTTTACTGCTTGATTTTTTAGTGTTTAAGTTTGTGCCCCCCCCCCCCCGCCGCAAAAAAAGAGAAAAAACCTCGACAGGAGCTGGTGCAATAGGCAGCTTCATCTGATGAGCTTCGAAATCCTATGAAATTTTTTCGACGATCTCATACTAAGCATCGTCCGCTTAAACTGTCACATAGCCGTCATCGATTTCACAGCCAAGGTGCTAACTCGATCTTCGTACAAAGCGACACCATCGTTCACAGTTCTATGTCACAGTACCTTGAACGTGCTCGAGAAGCAAGTGACCATAAAGCTTCGCTCCAGCGTCGTTATTCATCGGTACTCACAAATAAGAAAACATCCGCGATTGCTGCTCTAGTGTGCAATTCGCGTCACAAGGGAATCCCGCATTTCGATGAAGGAATAGGAAGTATGACGCTAACGAACTACAGCCAAAAATAGCCACTTCAACAGGGGCCTGACAGTTGCATGCATTGAAAAAATCGGGGCCGTTAGCTGTGCTTGCCTTTTCAGATTCTGCCGAAGGTACAATGACGTCTTCGATACCTCAACCAATTGCCGTCCCGACGACAGGGTAATACGATCACGTATACATACTATTATTATTATTATATTATTATTATTATTATTATTATTATTATTATTATTAAATTGTAATAATACCTGGAAATATTGTTAGGTAGCAAAAGCACACAATCATTGTAAGAGACGCCGTATGGACGGTTCAGAAAAATTGCCCGTGGGGTGGTAATAAACGTGCACCAATGTCAAAGAATACGGGCTTCCACTATTATTTATTCAATCGAAATGACGGCCAGGATTGAACTAACGACCTTCGGGACAGCATCTGAGCATGGTAATGGAGGACAGCTCAGCGTCCCCTTTGCAGTCTGAATCGCAGAAATCGTGGTCGGGATCACTGGAGATAATTCTCTCATCCCCTCGTGACCCCCGAGCCGATGACAGATCGGCCGCTAATGCGGCGCGAATCACTGTCACCCCGAATTGTGACATTTTGATTACACGTCGCTGAGAAACTTCAGTATCTTCAGAAATGATAGAAATGCAAAGTGTGCGTGTGCGTGTGCGTGTGTGCAAGTGCGTGCGTTTTGTTTAGATTACTGGTAATAAAAATAAAGGTGAGGCATTTACAGTCCTAAAATATTCTTTTTAGGCTTCTCAACACGAGTGTTCTTATATGAAGCAGTGATCCGAAAAGATTAGGAATTCATGTGAGTACCCCTACAACTAAAATTGTTTTATACGTGTTTGCTTTTACTTTTGAACGACTCAATGGTGTAGAGTTAGTGCGCTTGAAGGTGGTCATAATGAACGTATGAATAAATAAATTCTGGGATAAAAAATTAAATAAGTATCAGGGGTGAAAGCTATTGTTCAAGGCTAAATGAAGGGCTCGCGAAAAACACCAGAATACGGGTTGGTCATTTTTGTTTTAGCGCATTTGTCTAAGCGTTCTATCTTGCGTTCTATGTTGCTTTAGCATGCAAACTGTAGCGTCGGAATGTATACGGCTCATTGAGAAAGTGGAAATGATTCAGTTCATATTCTAAACCAAAAGGAGCGAAATGGAAGGAAGTGCTTCATTTCTTCCCTGCAAAGAGCACACAGCCCGCGGAGGGAATCATTTCAAGATGAGGATATCGTGTGCAAATTGAGGGAGGAACTGTTAAATAATACGCAGCAACATTCACTCACAAGGTACTTTCCGGCGCAGCGGGGGCCTCGAAAGTACGTTCAACATGCGCTTGAGCAAATACTTTCCTTAAGAAATCAACTATAAGCAACTTACCTTATACTGTAAAAGGTCATGAGAACTACCTAAACTACGGCAAGAACAAAATATTATTGTTAATATAAGATAATACAGGCGAATGTGAAAACCCACCCCTTCAAAAAAAAAAGCGCATGCGCTGAAGCTTTATCTGTGCTTGTTTCAGGGTTCTCGGCCAGCTAACTCTCAATAGTGTAGCGGTGTGTTGTGGATTTGTTATCGTTCCGTGATTTTAATTGCTGTGTCTTCTGGAGCACTGACTCATGTTTGCGCTGTGGGAAACGTCATCTACTAGAATCAAGTGCTACGCTATCGAAATGCTACGCGCCAACTGGGATATCACCTGAGAGGCGAGTGTAAACAAGGCTCCCTTGAGTCCGCGAGATTTTGGGCATGTGCGGTTGATTTGTAACAGTCAGCGCTTGTTTGACATTCGCACTCTTCGCAAACGAAAACCGCATGATCGATGAATACGCGCTATTCAGCATTGTGAGTGCGGCCTCGTCTGTTATAAAATTACAACGCTTTGATGAGGATTCAACATCGGTAATGGTAGCAAGTACAGCTGTTGAAAAATTGTTTTGTTGTCAGTGCAGCACGAATAACCATTGTTGACCAGAAAGCATCATGGCTTTGAAAAAGAAAGTTCACCTAAACACGACGCTATGTCGTTTGTTTTTTCAAGTTAACCAAATATTTCAGGAACGTTGGCCGTTAACATTGCATATCTAGCTAAAGGCTTATCACCACTAATACAGGCAGTTGGTGACCACATCGGAGACTTCGCTCGTTTGTAGTGATGCCAGGTAGCTTGTAATTTATATATCTAAAATGAAGCCCAAGCTTCATTGATAGACAAGTTGGCCCACAAGCGTAGTGCTGTGAAAGCTTGAAGCTTTAATTTCCAGAACGAGCTTCTTTAGCTTCATAACACGTTTTTAGCTGTTCGATTGCTTTATAACAGTTTCGGTGAAAAACCACATTTCGTCTAATTTTTATACATGAGGCATTTACGACAGAAGCGAGTGAACGTAACGACAAATGCACTAATAGTGCTATCGCAAAGAGTAAATACTTCTGCAATCACTTTTATAAGAAATCAATCAATGAGAGCGTCGAGCCTCACCAGAAAAGTATTTTGTACCCATCAGAGTTGTTAAATTGATGTGCACGCATGATGGTGCAGAATTGATTCGAGTCGCTGAATCTACATGGTTGTTTCTTTAGATGTTCTTGTTTTTTGCCATTAAACAAAAATTTTCACTGAACGACATAACCAGCCATGCGCCGTACTATGAGAAGCGAGCAAGCTTGACACAGTGATGAGTCCGTATATGGAAATAATTAAATAATAGTGATTTATTAAAGTGGAGCTGTGGGCTGATCACGCACAGTTGCGAGCCCCGTCAGCTAGCTCGTGCCTCTGCTGCACACACGATGCTGCTGCACTTGCGGCAATGTGCTCTCTCTTCATTAATAGCCTCTCTCTCTCATATATATATATATATATATATATATATATATATATTGGAGGAGCGTTTGTCGCCGGATCCGGGAATAATAGGAGAATAAAAGGAGTTTGACTCACAAGTGAAAAGATTTTTACTTGACGTTTCGACCGTGGGCCCGGCCTTCGTCAGAATGAAACAAAACACAGCAATGGTAACCACTTATATGCCAGTTGGTCACATGGATTGTAGATAGGTACAATCAATACACGTGGAAAAAATGCGTTCAAAATGTATCAACATACTGTTCGTCAGTAACATACTCGCGTAACAAGAAGATTCAACAGCAATTGACAGCTCATGTGGTGACGAAAAAAACACCGATAACAGAAGATTAACACGTGAAAAACAGCACCTACACTGTTACGGACAATTTTCAAGGATATAATAATAAAAGGTGATCAATGCGCATGACATATTACTGGCGCAAGAACGTTAAGGTGCCGGGATTTTCGTTGAGACCGAAAGCAATGGTACTGAATTTGTGGATGAGATATGATTCCCGGACTTCTCTGTCACGATGGGAGCTAAAGCCTGACTCTAGAATTGTAGCTTTTATCTTGCTGAAGGAATGACCTGGAAGCGCAACGTGTTTCGATAACGGTAAGTTAGGAAGGGAAATCGCGTGTGCTTTATGATTATTAAAACGTAGACGAAAGCTGGTCTCGGTTTGTCCAATGTATTGCATACCACATACAGAGCACTCCAGAAGATAGATTACGTTCGATGTGTAACAGCAAAAGTTACCCTTTATTTTAAGACTGAAACCTGAGGCGGTACTCTGAGCTGAAAGTGATGTTGTCATATGTGCACAAATTTTGCAGCGTGATTTATTGCATGGATGGCAACCCGAATATTGCGGTTTAGTAACTTTAGAGGATGTGACTAAGTCGTGTAAATTTTTAGAGCGTCTGTAGATTACTTTAGGTGGAATCGGGAAGATTGTTCGGAGACGTTGGCTTTGCAAGAGGATATTATGATGCTTTTGAAGAATACAGTTTACTCTGGGAGCCGAAGCTGAATGAGTGAGGACCAGGTTGGTTAGGCGTGAGGTGGCAGTCTTTTTCGGTGCCTTTAATAAGGTCTTGCGTTCGACGAGGTCAGCCTTTTTGAAAGCGTCTTCTACGAGACGGACAGGATAATTCTGTTTAACTAAAGATTCCCTCAGGGAAGTGCAGTTCTGGTGATAATCAGACTCATGTGTACAAACGCGTTTGAAACGGAGTGCCTGACTGTATGGAATGCTGGTCTTCCAGTGCTTTAAATGACTACTGTGAAAATGAAGATATTGGTGCCTGTCTGTGGGCTTCTTGAAAAGCGTGGTGCTTAGTCTGCCGTTCCGCAAAAAAACAGTAATGTCAAGAAAATCTGCGCGCTTGTCCGAGAATGAATGGGAGAATGATATGGAACTGTGAACATTGTTGAACGCTGTTATAAATGAAAGTAATGCATGCTCCCCGTGTTCCCAAATCAGGAAGATGTAGTCAATGTACCTTTTATAAAAAAGTGGCGTTAATGTTTGACTACTCAAGAATTCTTTCTCCAGCACACCCATGAAGATATTAGCGTAATTGGGGCCAATTTTAGTCCCCATGGAAGTCCCGTTCACTTGTACGAAATGGTCATCGTTGAATTCAAAGTTATTGTATTGAAGAATTAATTTCAATAATGTTGCTAATGTTGCGCCATCTATAGAATGGTCGGAGGCCGAACGCTCGTATTCCTGACGAACAGCTTCGATTCCGTCCTTGTGTGGAATGTTTGTATATAGGGAACAAACATCCAGAGTAACCAAGAGGGATCCTTCAGGAATAATTAAATCGGCAATGTCGCTCAAGAATTGGCCTGAGTCTTTGATGTAGGACGGGTAAGTTTGCGGAATATGGCTAATGAGGGTGTCAACATATTAGCCATATTCGCCATATATATATATATATATATATATATATATATATATATATATATATATAAATATATAAACAATGAAGTGCTAACATAGGACCCGGAAGTAAAAGTTCAAAAAAATCAAGCACGTAGGAAAAATTGTTTTGTAAAGGACTGACGTTGCGGCCGCGAAGGCCGGTCCCGCGGCCGAAACGTCAGTCCTTTACAAAACAATTTTTCCTACGTGCTTGATTTTTTTGAACTATATATATATATATATATAGCCACTTGGCTGCTAGTTATGGCGAGCGCTAGCCATAGCTGCCCGCGAGAATGGAAGACGATGTTTTGGGGCAGCGCGTGCTCTGGCTAGTTGTTTATTATTGAAGCAGCCATCTTGCCAGTTTTCGGTGCGTCTCCCCACCGGCTCAGTTCTTTCTAGTTGAAGACCTTTTGTAGCACGTGGCAACTGGTAGACGTGCGGGGTGACCCCCAGCCGATGTTCCAAACGCCTCCACGTAGCCCTGTATCTGCAGTGACAACACCAGTCCACCGCTCAAGCCGAAGACTCCGAGGACTACCTCCCGAGCGTGGACCTCTTCCCGAGATGACGTCTATTACACCCCCGAACGCTACGGAAGGCGCTGCAGCCTCCAACGCACAGGAAAGCGCCGCAGCCACGCATCATATTCTAAGGAAGCCACGTGTGCCGAAGGTGTTCCATGGTTCCGTCTTGGAGGATGTCGAAGACTGGCTGGCCCAGTCCGAACGGGTTTCAGATTACAATGGTTGTATCGACTTCGACAAAATGAGGAACGTGTATTGCAGCTTGGAGGATGGCGCTCGTACTTGGTACGAAAACTGCTGGCCTTGTGTGTATATATATATATATATATATATATATATATATATATATATATATATATATATATATATATATATACTCAAACACGTAAATGCGCTTGGAACACGCACACGGAACGACAAAATAAACCTATTTTACATTATTACGAATGTCATAATCAAGCAGTTCCTTACCAAACAATGCAAACTTAAGCCTAGCACAAAGAATCTTGTTTTTTGAGCAACATGGCCGAACGCGCAGCGTCCGGTATTCCCAGGTAATTTTCACTCTGCAATGTACTGCGCATTGGTATAGTCAGAAAAAATACACTTGCGTAAAAAGCGGTCCCTCGCACTGATTAGCGGCCGAGCAAAAAGGGCCCGAAAACACTGCTAAATGGCGTACCTATGCTCGGTTCTACTCGTTAATAAACACATCCAATAGCCACCCCAGGAAAACCACTAAGACCCGAATTCGGCATCAACGCTTTTTTTTTTCAAATAAAAATTTTCTTTGATTTGTGCACTTCTTAATGTAGCCTTTACATTGTGTCCTGCTGAGGACGTTTAGGCGCTACCACAACAATCAGTAAGGTCTGACTACACAGTGTTGTCTTTCTGCTTCTGTTTTGGAGCAATAGTGCACTATAATATCTCTAGATGTACACGTAGTCAATTTGTGGGAGCAATCGTGTGTATCTTAGGGATAATGACACTCGCTTTCAGAGCAAAAGAGTGCAGGCTGAAATGCCACCGTCGGAAAGAAAAAAAAATTCTTGTTTATTTTGCTATGCTGAAGACATCATTGGTCTGACTAGCCGCTCATGGCACTAGAAGCAGCACAGTACCCTACGGTAGCCTCCACTCCTTACGTAAGTATGTTTCTCTAAGGTATAGTGGTCAGCGTACGCGATAGCTGATACAATAGGCACCAGTTGAAATCCTGTGTATTTCTCAGGGATTTTCTGTACGTCTGCATGTGCTTTGTGTATTGATGTTGTTTGTCGTCAAATGCGTATGTCTACCTACAAATTTTCAGTATTTCAACCAGAAATTGTAATAAATTGATCTTTAGCGAGAAGGAGCAACTGTTGGCTCCGTCAGGAGCAACAGCTCGTCTCTACGCAGTCGCCGTTAAATCGTGTAATAAATCAGTTCCTCCCGTAAAGGGGTAAAACTTACTCCTTGAGATTTTGTCCCTCACAAGTGCGGAGCACTGACAGATTGCAAGCTGGCAGTTGCTCCCGAAAGGATGAATTGTTCATGTTGTCACCGTGCCCACCACCACGCGTTATAATTTGGGGAGTAAGGGTTGTTGGAATGCAGTGACACACAAAAAAAAGACGAACCACATACACCTTTCCGCCCTTTGCGGCTTAGAGTGCAGGCATTTATGCAGCTATCTATATTGCTCTAAATAGCTTTCGACAGCTCTAAGTATTGAAGTCATTCTAATATTGGCTGCAACAAAATATACGTTTGCGTTTTGGTACCTTTGTTGCATGGAAAGGTGAATGAGTGGCTCTACTTGAGGAAAGCCCAGCTTGTTCAGCAGTGGTTGAACAATGACCTTCATCAGTCCGTATTGAAGCGATGGTTACCCGAGTGCTTTGCAGGTTCGCAACCACATTTGGGGGTGACTGGGATGCTTCCGCCAGTGGGAGACGCTCCCTACCGACTGATCCAGCTTCAGCCAACGATTCAGCCAGCTGGGTTATTATGCAGCGAAAAATGCGCCTGTAAAGAAACATTCATTATTAAAACGGACTGCCTAAAAGGGTTCCTTGTGATTAGTAGCATACACCTTACAAAGGAGAGATTTCTGGCTAAAGAATTACTGATGTGAAGCTCAACTACATCTTTCATTAAATGGCTTTGCCAGGTAGGCACGAGTTTTAAAAACGACATTCCACCACGAACTACTGTGTCTGCTGCATAGTCATGAATCTGTACGAGACGCATAACTAACATCTATCTGTAAGCCCGTCAATGGAGCCCTGCGCATGCATATTGTGTAAATAATCGCGAATCTTTCGTATACTTTTTTTATACATTTCGGGAAGCTTCTAGCATAAGAAAATATATATTATTATACATTTAGATAACGTCAACCGTACTTTATGTGTATTAGTCCAGCGAAATACTCTAGGTGTCGCTGCAACAGGTCTTCATGTTGTTACAGGGAGTATTTATTAAGCAGTTATCAGTCAGCGCTGATCAAGATAATACTGCACAGAATGCTCACGTTCGCAGGTCAACAGGGTACCTCAGACTGTCTCACAACAAGATTTCCATACCCATGACAATACCCCGGCCTGTAAAGCACGGTCTCGGTGCTTCAAAGGCTACAGTAAAGATTTAAAGGCCGTGACACTGTTGCAGGGTTTCACACGGAATATACGCACTATGGCGGTTCTTGGTGTCGCCGTCGAGTTGGTTGTCAGGAATATCTCATAGGTGACAGGTGTCACCTTGGTGCACGACTCGGTAGGACCCGACGTATTGTGATAAGAGCTTCTCGCTGAGGTCAACACAATCAGAAGGAAGCCCTAGCAGAATGAGAGCGTGTGGAGAAAATCAGCATCCGTGAGTCGACTTAGTGGCGGAACATTTGTGTAGCCTCGGATAATGAGAACCAGGTGCGCGCTACCGTGCGTGCAATGAGAGAACGTGTGATTGCACCTTGAGCATTTAAAGTGATGGATGTTAGGTCAAGCGGAACCAGGGTATAGAAAAGTAATTAAGAGTCACGGTCAGAGAAAAGATAAATGGGTGAATAGCCGGCAGTTTAACGGCCCGATGTGTTATAGGCGAAGGGGACGAATGGGAGGGTAATGTCCCAACCGGCATGGTTGTCAGAATAGTACATGGAAAGCATATCTGACAGCGAGTGGCTGCGGCGTCCGGCAAGTCCGTCAGTTTGAGGGTGATAAGTGCAAAAACTGTGACGAGAAGCAGAAGATCGCAGTAGGTCGTGAACGACACGATAGAGAAAGCAGCGACCACGGTCGATCGGTAGGTGGCGAGGAGCGTAATATTGGAGTATGAGGTCGTATAAGAGAAAGTCGGCAACGTGTGTCACGCAGCTGGTTTCTAGCGTTCGAGGGATTGCACTGTGTAGCTTAATCCGTGGCTACTGCAACCATTTTTTCCTGTTGCCGAAATTAGAAAGGGACCTAGAAAAAGGTTAATCCGACTTCATAAAACGGCTGGGTTGCGATTTTATCATGCTGATGTCGACTAGCCGGGGCAGTGTAAGGTTTATTTAGGCACTGGTAGATGTCACAAGCTGCAACGTAGCAATGAGCGGAACGGTAAAGGCCCCTCCAGAAATACCATCTTCGAACGCGGTCATCGGTTCGGGAGATGCCTAATTGTACGGAAGTTGCAGTATCGTCAAATTGTTCCAGGGCATCCTTACAAATACTATGTGGGATGACAAGCAAAAGTTCTGCGCCCTCTATATGTAAGTTGTGGTGATATTGAAAATTGCTTCGCGGCGAGAACATGCTGAGTCAATAAGGTCAGGCAGGACCAGCTTTAAGGCCGTCAATGACGATGAATAATTACGGATCACGCCATTGTTCATCGGAGACTTGTAAGAAGTCAGTGCTGGCGAAAATGGTGGCGTTGCTTTTACATTCGGTGCACGTAAGTTTATCGAAAGGTTTGCGGGATAAACAGTCGGCATGACTGTAGCACCTTTCCATATTTGTACAGTGTCGTCCACTAATAGCGTGAACACGGCTCGGCGTGGCCATGCTACGCGCAGCGCCAGTGTGCTGGCGTGGCCACGCATTGAAGCGTCGCGAGTTATGCGCACACGGATACACGGGAGCTTCTTGACATCGTCGGCTACATTGCTTGAGTGCGCCTTTCCGTAGTAGCCAAGCGCCGGTCTCGCTTGTCGGTAGCAAAGCGGCACGCTCGTGTGCGCCTGCGCCACTTGGACTCGATGTGTGGCCGCGCCAGCTGCACTGGCGCTATGCAGAGCGCCGCCACGCTGGGCCGTATTTACGCTAACTCCTTAATGGTGGTGTACAGACAACGCCTCTGTACACCACCAAGAATGTCTACTCTTGCAATCATAATGCCCAACAACCGAGTCTTCCAGTAGGGTTCCAGTAGGGTGTTGACCGTGAGCACAGGGCACGATAGTGTGTGCCATAGGCTGACCACATAAAACCGCATAAGAAAGAGTACGTTATGCATCCAAAAGTTACAGGGGCGTTACACAACCCAAAAGGCGCATGGCCTTAAGATGGTAAAGATCACCGGGCGTAATGAATGCTTTCGCTTTGTGGTCGTGGTCATCCGTAGAAAATTGCCAGTATCCGGGTCGATGATCGACTGACGAGAAAAACTGGGCACCCCTGAGGTAGTCGAGTGTGTCGCTGAATCGATGCAAAGGATAGATGTTCTAGGTTATTCGGTTGCGATGGCAATGGTCGACGCAAAAGTGCGAGCTGCTGTCCTTTTTCACTAGCACCACAGGTGATGTCCGAGGACTAGATGAAGCCTCTATGACGTCTTTTTCGAACATTTTCTCCACTTAGTTCTGGATAACTTGGCACTCAGTGTGATACACACGGTAAGGGCATTTGTTAATGAGATTGGCGTGCCCGGTGTTGATGTGGTGGGCTGCGACGCTTTTGCGGACCAGAGAGCAGTCCTCTACTGAAGACACCGCAGGGTGCTTCAACTTGAAAAAGTGGCAGATCATTAGAGATCATTTTGTCTTGAATTGCCGTATTTTAAGTAATATAACACGTTTGGCGACAGCCCTTGCGTCAGGGATAAAACGAAAATTCGTACATTCCTCCACAGTTGATACTTATGCTGGGGAAATGCCTTGAAGTACTTGGGTTGATTAAGGAGTGCGGGAGTGGCATTTCTATTGCCTTGACATTATTCGCGTACATTGTGAAATACATTAAACAGATGCACAAGAATTGTGTACATTCTGAGAAACGAAAAAGTCACTTCAACATATCCTGCGGATTTCTTAGAGGACAGCGCCGTCAATGAAGGAAGCATTTAAAAACTGCCCAATATTTTATATTCGTCTAAAATAGTGCCTTTATTTACACCTCTTATCTTAAGCGCAAAAAGAATTGTGGAAGCACGCTTGTTCAGCGTTTCTTGAATATATTCGAATCTCGATTCCTCTAATATTCAGGACAAACTGAAGCAGGCAGCCAAAAGCAATAAAAAGTGACACTGCTTTGTCAGCATTTTGCATCGTACCACATTACGGCGAATTCACTATCATCGACATATGAATACCTGTAAGAGCCGCCAGGCTTTATGTTTTATATACCAATTCTTTGTTAATCCACCGAAAGCCTTCAAATCTCGAAATCATTCATATAAAAACTATAGAGGTTTAGCAGGTGAGAACGCCACGCTATTCGTAAAACGCTGAGGCAAGCGTTCCCAGGCTACCGCATTGTTCATACTGATATTTTTGTAGCGCTTACCTCTGCAACCATCCTATGAAATGTTCCATCTGGTGACAAGTTTTTTTGTTATTACGAAAACTGAAATATCGTAAACCTGATAGCGAAGAGATGGACATTATTAAAGAAACGGGAACATGCATACTAATGTTGTTACTCTTTTCGCAATTTGCCTTAACTGTCAAAATGGCAATTATATGCTTAGTGCATCCAACGACACCCCCGTAAAACCTTGCTGGACTTTTGAAAAAGACTGTATTCAGTTAATAATCGTTACACTTGTTATTGTTCATTACTAAGCCAGTTTTCTTAAAGAATTTTCGAACATATTGATGCGCAATAACTCATTCGTTAGGATCAGCGTTTCCCAGTCTCATTCGCGCCCTTCTTCAGTTCAACTTCGTGAATTTCTGCTTGACCAATAAGTGGAAAGTCACGGGCTGAAGATATACTGAACAAGAGCGATGAGAAACCGGGACCGAGTAAGTACCTAAGCGTGAAGACGAAATCGCAATTCATTTTAATTGTAGGGGAAGCACTAGGCTTTTAAAGAGGTGGAACCATGTGTACTTGTACGTTCTACGCGCCGCCATGGTGGTCTAGTGGCTAACGTACTCGGCTGCTGACTCGCAGGTCGCGGGATCAAATCCCGGCGGCGGCGGCTGCATTTTCGATGGCAGCGGAAACGCTGTAGGCCCGTGTGCTCAGATTTGGGTGCACCTTCAAGAACCCCAGGTGGTCGAAATTTGCGGAGCCCTCCACTACGGCGTCTCTCATAAACATATGATGGTTTTGGGACGTTGAACCCCACATATCGAAGATCAATCAATGAGCCGTACGTTCTACGTTAAAGGGAGCTCATCGCGGTATTCAGGGCAGGAAATTTGAAAAATGAGACGATGGAGAATTTTTTGTATTGTTTTTCAGCAGCGACCACATTGTGATTAAAAAAAATTCACGAATAACTCCTAATAGGGACTCGAGTGGGCTTACGGCAGATTTGAATGGGCAAAGAAGCCCAATTGTTCATAAAATGTTTGAAATACAGTTACCAAGGTGCACGAAACGTTCAAGCCATATCGACGCAGTGGAGTCTAACAAAAGAGTGGAGCGCTCTCGGGCCAACTAGTCTGCCGCTCGGGACAAGCGGCTTCTTCCTCGAGCGCAGAAATCTTACACACGTTTAGGAAGGGAGCGGCGCTTAAAAACCCCCCGTCTTATACGCAAAAGTGGTCAACTACCGTGCCTCTCCAACTCGGGTCCGTTTGGACTCGCATTGCTTAACACAACACCGGCCAGCGAAACACGGAAACATTGCTTCAACCGCGACAGTTACGCCATCCATGGATGCGTCTTATTTGCTTACCGGATGATGGCATGAAGACACTCGTCTGTCACCAAACCCAGGCCCAAAACAGCTCCACTGTTGGAGAAAAAGAGAAATACGCACCACTGTGAAGCTGCTGTCATGCCCTACATGCAGAAAACGCCCCACGGTGAAAAAAGTGTGGCTACTCGTTTCGATGCGAAAATTGTATTTGCTGCGGCAAATAATTTAAACAACGAATTCAGCTAAACCGAAACAAACTTAGCAGCCAACGCAAAACGGTTAAAGGCAAAACGCTTTCAGTTGATTTCTAAAATATGTAGGAAAAAACACTTTTCTTAGAATTTCGAAAAGGGTGCCTCTATATGCATATTTCACACATTATCAGGTGGCTGAAATTCCGAAAGCAAGCACAAAGTGAAAACGCACCCTAGCCCAAGATCATCATATGCGCTCTGTCCTTGCGGCCTATATATATTTGAAAAAGAAAAGACTTTCATACATCAAATGTTGATGATTGTATAGAGTAAGCCGTGTATAGAATATTGTCAGGCAACTTCTAAGGCAGCCCGAAGACCCTGTGCGCCTTCATATTCACACTTCGTCTTCGCAGCGCGTCGATTCGAGCAGTTCCATCTCCTAGTTTCATCGCGACTTTTGTTTGTCATTCTTGTTAATTAGCTTGAATTTTGGGGTAAATAAGGTCATGAGCAATCGTAGATTCCGCGGCAAATCTTACTGTTGTCATGTTAATGGGAATAAAAGCCACTGACGTACTGAGGTGCTAATAGCTGAACCAGCAAGCTCTTCCTCAGTGAACGTCTCGACCTTTTCAGAGTCCTTCGAGGTGATGCACGTGCATTTTGAGAACGGGTACACTCCAATAGACATGAAAATTACTTGTGCTGCAAATATACCGAATGCCGCGTGAGAATGGCCTGCCGTAAGCGTTGAGTTATTTGGAATGAAGTCGCAGTCTTTGCTGTATTTGTTTAGGTTCAGACTTAAAAACTTCCACATTGAATATTATTTATGCATTTATAGGTGCCAGCATCACATGAGCCAAAATTTTGAAATAGTTAGGGCTGAAATCTCGCCAAACTACAGCTAGCTTGCTGGAAAATGTTGACCCTATTCGACGATGCACTGCGAGTACAGCTGCTTGACATCTCACAAAAGAAGCAACACAAACATTCCGAGAGGCTCTTTAGTGAAAACTTAACCTTGGCAATGAATAGCGAACTTTTGGGTACAAAATGAAATAGTCTAACAATGTTTAAGACAAATGTTGGGTTTTCAGCGGTTTGCTAACTTCAAACCTAATTATTTTAAAACCACATTTTAATACTTCGGTACTATTACTTCTTCTGTAATTCAAGATAACCACGGATGATTATTTGTTACTTGCATTCTGCATAAATACGCACATACACTGAAACAGAATCGAAGTTCCGCACTTTACAGTTTTTGTGTTACCAACTTCTACAGTAGCTGGTTAAGGCAAAAATTATGTTGTAGTCTTAAAAAATTTCACAAAGATGCTAGTTCTGCACCGACTATTAAATGTCTGCTTCAGTTAAAGGAGCAGTAAATGATCTATAGATAACGGGAATATCCCTTTCTAAAGACTAAGAAAACGTTACACCAAAAAAAAAAAAAAACGCCAGGCTTCCGCGGAAGGCGAACCACAGTCGCAGCCAAAGCTAGAATTGCGGCCTTTCAGAGCTTTTTCTAAGCACTTATTGAGTAACTGTTTACAGAACACTTGCTTGATGCCCACTACTACATTAAAGGGGTCGTAAAACGCTCGCTCTAAAGCGACAATGCGAAGCCACCGGCGTCTACACGCACTAACTAGGTGACGTCATCATAAGTAATGCTTGGCCAATCGAGGAACGCAGAACTTTAGGGTACTTGCGATTGCGTGAAACCTGGACACCCATAAGCGTCTTTGCCATACGAAATCGGCACTACCTTGAACTCTGGCGTCATATTAAGCAGCGTTCTTGTGGGACGCGGATCACGTATGGTAGACGCCGAGGAGCGCCTCTTCCGCGTGCTCGATATGCCATATATAGTTCTGCGTTCCTCGATAGGCAAAGCGTCTATGCAGGTCCACTCGGGCTGATGATATAGTTAGCGCATGTGACTGCCGATGGTGTCGCATTGTCGTTGTGAAGCGACCGTTTCACGACTTCTTCAATAATGAAAACTTTAAGAAAGTAGGCCGGCATTCGCAATGCTATTTCTCGTATTTCTGAGAAGCATGGTATCCGCTAAACTCTTGCAAGGAATTTTGTGCCTATTGTTCAAGCAGTGGCTGACGACGATGAGGAAATATGCCTGAAGTGAGTATACGCCACAGTTAAGAGCTGAACAAAACAAGCTTTCGTAATAGGTACGAGCAATGGACGACCCACTTGTTACGATAAGTGTATTGTGCGACGACTCCTTTTTCTTTCACTGTTTTAAAATGATTTATAAGTCCTACTGACGCGATTGCTCTCTAGACATCAAGCCTGCCTTAGGCAAGTTTGCGAACAAGTCCCAAGCACCGGCGTAGCTCAGTGGTAGAATACTGGACTGGCACCCAGCGGACCCGGAGTCAAGTCGCGCCGTGCCAGTGGTACTTGTTTATTTCTTCCAATTTTCACGCGATGTGGTTGCGGACACCGGCGGCGGTGGCGGCGGCGGACAACTACGGTGCTGCGCAAGACCCGAGTTGTGATCTCATAACAGCTTTCGCTGTAAAATGACAAATATGCATGGCACGTAAAAGGCTTATACCCAGTGCTCCTAAGAAAAGAGGGCAGTATTATTGAGCGTAGCGTAGCCCGCTTTTGCTTCAATCTCAGCGTGTGTCGTGTACACCTTGCCCCTATCTCGTGGCCATAAATACGCGAGCCAAAGTGGCCGATGCCTAAGCACACATTCACAAAAGCATGATTGAGTAATAGCGTCAACGGACTTTCCTACACCGTGCCGCACTGCACAACGTGTGGCACGGGAACCAATTACGTTTATGCCACTATTTTATCAAGAAATGACCGTCAAATGACACAAAAGCTGTAGTAGGTTTTCAGACGAGAAGCTCTAGCGATCGTTCACTAATCAGTTTATCCATCATCGCAGCAGAAAGTACTACCTGAGCCACACGTTGCTATAAAAATTTTGTTTTACTGGTTTATATGCTTGGTTAGAGCAATGAAAGGTGCCGACCAAAGTAAATATTTCACTGAAGCAGCTTAAAGCCTTTGTCAGCTGTGCCCCTTGTTTCCGGTGGACACATGCACCCTCCTCATTTTTAAAACGTGGAACTCATATTTGAACCTTAGCGAGGACTGCTTTTATGCATGCCACCCTCCGGTTCCTCTGCTCTCTCTAGCTACAGTTTAAAAACATGCCGGCGCATTTGATGACAATGCGACCAATGGATACGTTGCTGACTGTTGCTTTAAGCACACCACAATATCTTTGTTTCTTTTTATATGCCTCAATAGGCGTATTTACTGGACCAACTTTTGAAGCAATGAACCTGAGCTAGAAACTCAAGAAAAAGTTGAATATCAGTTTGCAAAACATTCACTTGATGTTTAACGTAATATCTATAAGGTTTTTGTGTTTCTATGCTTTCTGAAAATGCCCGAAAAACAGGAGAAAAAACCGTGACATGTCATCCACCTGGTTTGTACCACTCCTACCAAACACAAGTTGAGCTCGCCTTAGATAGCCCCGACACGGTGGTCTAGTGGATGAGGTGCTCAGCCGTTGATTTGATTGATATCTGGGGTTTAACGTCCCAAAACCACTATATGATTATGAGAGACGCCGTAGTGGAGGGCTCCGGAAATTTAGACCACCTGGGGTTCTTTAACGTGCACCCGGGTGCTCAGCCGTTGACCCGCAGGTTGCGGGATTGAATGCCCGCTGTGGCGGCTGAATTATCAATACAGGCGAAAATGCTGTATGTCCGTGTGCTCAGATTCCAGTGCACGTTAAAAAAACCCAAGAAAATGTAATTCCTGGAGCCCTCCACCACGTCGTCTCTCAATCATATTGTGAGAAACGAAGAAGTCGACCCGGACCCGATCTTCTGGCTAAATCAAAGGCCTATGAGACAACTGAACGAGCCAGCGGCTGCGGCTAGAGCTCGTGCCCGCTGCCTCTTCTTTCTCCTTTATTTGCAGCACACTCCCGCGGCCAGCAAATTCGAACACGTTTTCAGAAAGCTCTGAGTGAGTCTGCCAGGAGGTGTTTTTTTTCTCTGCAAATGGCTCGTACCCAAAGGAAGGGATTGGCCGATTATAAGATGAATATGCCCGATAATTTCAGCATTGTTAACCGGCGAGAGAAGGGCTTTGCGAGGGATGATGAAGCTGAGCAAGGCGGTGGCTTGTCTTGAGGGGGAAGCCGTCCAATAGCACTGCGATGTCTAGAAGACTTCATGATCACGTTGTTTCCAATCTTCAGGTCATACTGGGTGCCTTTGCTCTTCTTGCATCGCTGGTAGTAAGAGAGTCATATGCTGGCCTGCTGACACGGACTCGCAAGGTTTCTTGATAATTCGCGTACTTCTTCAGAGTCATATTTACCAGCCGTTGTTTGTATTGCTTCTGAAGCCTCTGTAGCACCTTCCCGATCATGTGCTGCTTGACCACTTCGGGTGTCAGGTAGTCCTCAGCGAAAGCCTGGCTCGCAGGTACTTCTGATCTGAATGGAGAATCCAATGTTGATGATTCTTTTTCATTCGACGAGGACGATGATGACGACGAATCATCTTGGTTCTGTCGGGCAGTGACCTCGCCAAGGACGGCAATCATGGCCGCGTTCGAGGGCAGCGGAGGTTCGTTCACGTGCTGTGTGGTCAGTAATGGATTCACGGTGTTCGTCCCAACGTCACCAACGATGACGTACATCGAGCTGAGGTTTTCGGGTGCATGATTTTGAGCCACGTGTAAGTTTGTGGAGACATCACTGCAGGACCCTCCCAATGACTTGTCAATCATGATGCCCTCACTTCGTGAGACTATTCGTTTGTGCCCGATCCCTTCATGATGCGCATGGTGTAGTGCTGCAGCTGTGTGATGTGGCGCTTGTACATCAAGCGCAGATCTGTGGTGTCAGGCGACATATCTTGATGTGCGGTGGCGTTGTAGACGGCCATGGGGTGCACGTACTCGGCTGAGCACGGCTCGTAGCACCACTGCTGCTCGCACTCTCGATCATCCACTTGCTTAAACTTGGGTGAAGACGAACTGGAAACTCTACCGCCAGGATCAATTTTGAGAAACGTGTAGGAAGAGTAGTAGAACTCCACGTACTGTTGCTTCTGGGACAAATCCAAAAGGCGCACGGTGCCGCGTGATGGATAGCACAAGAGTTCATCATGTGGGTCATGAAAATAAGACGGACTTACCAAGCAGTGGCTCAGGTCGTGGGAAACCGAATTTTTTGAAGTTGATTCACATGGTGCAGCCGGGGTTTCTTTTAGCCATCGAACTCTCCACGGCACACCTTGTGGACGAGTCTTGGCACCGAAGTGTCGTAGATCTCGTGGAAAGGAACCGGTCTTTCAGCGTGCACTCAAAGCTCATTCGAGTTGTGGTTGACGTTGATATCGGCAAGCCACTGGAAGGCGATGTTGTCTCTTGCTTCAATAACGATGCGGGAGGAGTTCTGAGGCTACTCGGAATCGAAGTCGTAGCCTGAAGTGAAGTCGAGGCGAGAGGAGTCATGAGGCTGGTCTGGTCGTAAGGGAAGTCGAGGCCTGCCACGATTTTGTTACGAGTGGAGTCGAGAAGCTGGTCGAAAGCGAAGTTGTAGCTTGGTGTGACGTCGGTAGGAGAGGAGTCGTGAGCGTTGATTGATTGATATGTGAGGTTAACGTCCCAAAACCACTATATGATTATGAGAGACGCCGTAGTGGAGGGCTCCGGAAATTTAGACCCCCTGGGGTTCTTTAACGTGCACCCAAATCTGAGCACACGGGCCTACAACATTTCCGCCTCCATCAGAAATGGAGCCGTGAGCGTAGTCGAAAGAGAAATTACGGGCCGAGAAGAGGTGGTGGTGGACCGTTGTGCGTAATCTTGTCGTACTGAGGTGTTGTTGGTATGGTGTGAGCAGTTCATTTGGTTGTTGATGTCACACAGCGAAGTTGAATGTCGTCCCGCACATCAGTGGAAATGCAGGGTTTTGGCGGGGCGGCAATTGGTGGTGAAATGGTTGCTTTTGGCACAGCGAAAGTATAGCTTCCCTGCATGAAGCCTTCTCCGCATCTCTTCCAGGGGAAGACGTACGGAGTATTCCTCGACAGCATGTTTGGGAGAGGTGCACAGGAGGCAGGGCTGCAAACACGGAGGTCGAAGTTCTGCTGATAAAGCCGCAGCGAAGGGTAATGTGTCTGACGGGTCGGCAAGACTCGCTGCAGAAGCCTTTAACTATTAGATTACATCGGTCCGTGGAGACCACTTTTCTCTTGTATCTCTACTTGTACTTTGACAAAGCTCAAGAGGTCTTTCACTTGTGACTGGGCTTCGTAGGATGCTATGGCGTTCTTAGTTAGCATAACTTCCTTTTGCCTTTGACCATAGGAGATACTGAGGTCCACAGGTAACCCCTTTAAGAGAACACACCGCAGCATCGTGGAATACTCACCTGGAGATACTTCGAGACCTCTCAGGGTGTTGATGCGGAATGTGACTTCATCATGAAGATTTCTTAACCCAGTCACGTCTGTGGAACTTCAGACTGGTGCGACTAACAGCAAACTGTCGAGATGGTCATCAACTAGCTTGCCGCGACGACCGAAGTGATCCGAGAGGATCTGAGTGGTGACATCATAGTTCGCTTCGGCCAGGCGAATACCTTGAATGGCCGCCTTCGCTGTCTCAGTCAGGTATGTCAATAAGTATTGGAACTTGTCTTTTTTCGGGATCCAGTCGTTGTTGCGGACAATGGATTGAAGCTTGTCACAAAACCTTTGCCAGTCCCGTCGCTCACCTGAAAAACTCGGGATGTGCAGCTTGGGCAGTGTGAGGCGAGACAGCCTCGTGGGAGTCGGAAGGCCGAGCGAAGGCAAGGTCACGACTGGCTGCGATGTGCCTGTCAAGGGGTCACTGTTTGGGGCGGTTGCGACGATGACGTATGCAGGTGGGGTTGGGGACCTCGGCTCGGTTGCGCGTCGAGCCCTTCCTTTAGCGCAGATTACCCGATCTTCGTATTCTCTGGCGGTGGTCAAATTTGTTTCGAAGACCTCACCATATAGCGCAGCTTGAATCTCCTTGTCGAAGGTGATGAGGTGGGCGTGTTTTGTCACAATGATGTCGATGAGCTCCTGGAGCCTGTGAGAAGGGGTCATCGAGTCTGCCAGTAGGTTGTCGAGAGTCAATATTGCCTTGGCGATCGCTGTCCGGTAGAAGCCTAGCTGTACTCGGAGTTAGTCCATAGTCGAAAGTCGAGGGCCAGACGATCGGGTGGGTTTCAGCACCAGAGCAAAGTACGAGAAACGAAGAAGGGGACCCGGCGCGACCGTCTGGCTACATCGAAGGTCAAAGGAACAACTGAACGAACCTGTGCCTGCGGCTACTGCTCGCGCCCACCGCTTCTTTCTTCTTTATTTCCAACACATATGATGGTTTTAGGACCTCATACCCCAGATATCAATCATTGTCATTTTAGACAGGAGTAATAAAAACCGACAGGAGTTGTACATACCGGGTGCACGAGCTTATTCTTCAAAATATACGGTGAAACTCTCAGCGCACAGTAGCGAGAAAAAAAGCGCACATCCAAAATCGCTTGTGGCGAACTGCCGAGTGCCCGCCTCTGCCCTACTACTCTATTTTTTATATAAATCACATCTATGCTCAAGGACGCCAACGTGTCACACTTAGTTACCATGCTGTTTCCATGGACGCCATTTTCTTGTGCTTCTACGTTCTTCTGGGTGTATCAGGCGTCTAAAATTTGTCCTGATTATGAAGTCGTCTCAATATTGCACACAGCCGAGAACGCGTTACGAGAGTAATTACGCACTGCCGCATTGTATCATCTTTTGTCTGTGGAATATTGGCAGCGAGATGAAACTGATACGTACCACATATGTTCCAAAATGGCCCGGACGTTGCCTCGGTAGAGAGAAACCGTTGTGGCAGCGTTCACTCTTTCGAGACTCGTGCTATCCACAAAGGACGAGTGGGTTGCTTGTGTCAGCGTCCCCGAGGAATCACGATGAGATGAAGTTTGACCAGGTTCCCTTGGCAGGACACCCTCATCTACAGATGCAGAGACATCTCAAGTAATATGAATACCTGTTTATTAATATATTATCTGCGGTCTTACGTCGCCAAACCACAATATGATTTTAATAGACGCCTTAGTGGAGGGCTTCGAAAAGTTTAAGCATCTACTCTTTTTTACCGTGCACAAACATCGCGCAGTACACGGGCCGCTACCATTTCACCTCCATCAAAATGCGACTACCGTGATTGAACCCACGGCGTTCGGGTCAGAACCTGACCACCGTAATCACCAACCCACTGACGTGGACGTTGCCTGCTTAGCGATTGCCACTTACCGGCTTCGAAAAGAAATATATGATATAGTTGTCAACATAATCTCATTTACAGTTAGAACTCAATTTAATCAAGACAAGATAGTAATATTCCATTAAATACGAATGTGCATTGGGCCGAAGAATAGATTTTCGGTCCGACAAAACTTAAAAGTGCAATGCAGCATCACCCGAAAACTACCGGAGCATTTTTATTTTGTCCTATGGCACACCCCTGCTTGTGCAAAAAAGTCTGCGAGGGCAGCTCGAGCATGAATTTCTTCCTGCTCGTACCTATACCCAGAAGGTGCACGTATACTTGAAGTACGACAAGCTGGCGATAGAAAACGCACTCAATGTGCGAGCAGGCAGAACAAATTTCCAAGGTGCCGATCACTGCCACTTGCCGCACGAACCAAAAGGTAACGGAAGCATCCACCCTGTTATGGTAAGGGCATGATTGCGAACAATAGACCATTTCCGCTCAACGCCGTTTTGTTTAGGTTTACTCCAAGCGCAGCAGACGGCAACATGCAGCCTCGTGAGAATATAGTGCCGTATAGACGGTGTATAGATGTTTTATTGGATTTGATTCCCGATCGAAGAAAAGCTATCAATGGAAAAATGGGAAAGAAACCGCCGCCTTTAGCTTATTGATTTCAGAAAAAAAATTTCGCCAAATCAAGCTCACTGTTATGAAAGATTCAAGTAGAGTTAATGAGAACATGGAACTCTTAATGCACCTGAAGGGGCAGAAAAAGTCGTTAGAAGAAAAAAATCGTAAAAATGAGTTTTGTTAGATTGAGTTTTTAAATTTTATTAGTGGCGTTTCATAGAAGCGTAACGCTATTGATATAGTTTACAGTGAAATGAGCATGCTTTGAAATAATGTTGTTCACTCGGAGTTAATTAAAATGTGTCTTAATCTTCATAAACACAGGCTCCTGCATTCGGAGTTTTAACCGCGATGGCTCATATCAAGTGCTACACGTGACTTAGGGAGAATAGCAGCCACTTGGTGGTTCTTTCCGCAATACAACGGCGGTATAAGAATACTTGTTATACTCACTCTGTGCTTCGACGTGGGTGGAGTTTCCGAGCAATAGCTCACCGCTAGGCTGTGTTGGTGGGCTTAGTAGCGTTGGAAGGTTGTTTTTTTCACCAGCCTGTGCAAATTAAATAAAGTTTTATGTGCGCTTCCACTACGTAATGTCAATGATTACCAGAGCTGTTTAGTGCATAACATGTACATGACGCCGAGCTGTCAACAAATGTACGGGTTCATTTACTGTCTTGCCCATGGTTTGCTGCTGTGTAAGTCATTTCGAAAACTACTGCTCCAGCGTGGATGACTAGCGCCACCGCGGGCGTCCATCTGAATGACAAAATAGACGGAGATTTAGCTTTGGAAAATATGCAAAAAAAGCATCGGCGCAGGTATTTCTTGCAGGTTTTGATTTTCCCTCAAACAGCATTCTTGGTTTAATTGCCGTTTCGTTGGCTCTAATGCTGGCCAGTCTCTTAGCGTCCCTTTATTACGCACATAGAGTCACCACTGAAACACTCGTATTGCATAAAATTTTTGCAAAAGCTCGTTTTTCCCCCTAGTGTATAACGTTACGTATTGGCTTGGCGTATTTTTTTAACAATAATTCCACCAACACTAAGGTCAGTGAAGTTTTGCAGAAATCAATCTTTGTTGAAGATCTCTATTTTGCATTGCACCGCGGGTAAAGGACTCATTATTCAAGGATGCTGTGGCATGGTTCTAATGCTGATTAATGCTGCACCAAGATGGGGAAACATGGAACTGGGTATTAACAGAGAACGTTTCAATCAAAATACTGCTTGGGGAAGCATTCACTGTAAGCCGAAGCCTTTCTTGTTCACAAATACTCATGATGCCTTATTAAAGTAATGTGGCGGAACCAATATAAAAAAAGGATGCATTAACCATTCCTACAGAAAGTAAGCAATAGACGACAAAAATGGCAGGTGCCACATTCCGGGGGAATCGTTGATATGAGAATCACGAACGAGCAAGGTTGATCTGTATTTTAGAAGTCAGCGCAATGTCACAAGGCGGACGTAAATTATGCCATAAACTACTTCCATGTCATGACCAGAATGTTTGCGCCTGAAAATTGTGTTCGCCGTCCATTGATGTCACGTAATACCAAATTTCTGTATGTGAAGCTAGCGAAACGGCCGTGAGTGCGCAAGAGCGTAGCATGTAGCCATGTTTTACATAACACGCATGTCACGATTATAATGTTTGCACCAGTCATATACATTCGTCATCAATTCACGTCACGTAACACCATAATTGGTGTATGTAAAGCTAGTGAAATGCCCAGTAGCTCACTATGAGCCTAGCATATAGTTATGCATGTGTTTCTTCATACGCATGTCATGATTATTATGTTTGAACATGTCATTTACCCCTCGTCGACCGTCCACGTCACGTGCTACAAAATTTGGTATATATGAAGCTAGCGAAACGGCTGCAAACGCATCTTGAGCGTGTCATGTTGTCGTGTTCTTACATAACACGCATGATTATTATCATAATTGCACCAGTCATATTCCTTCCATCATCCATTCAAGTCACGTAATACCGAATAAGGTATATGTAAAGCTAGCGAAACGAGTGCAAGCGCACCATCAGCTTAGCGTGCAGCCATGACTCACATGACATGCAGGTCATAATTTTCACATTAAGGTCTGTCACTTATGCACGCCATGCAGTTATGTCACACGATATCAGTTTTACAATACGTCAAGTGAACGACGTACCGCAAGAGCAGGAAGACTGACATCGAAATCATGACGTTACTGAAATACCTGTCATTATTTTTATGTTATGACTTATGCTTGTAATGTTACGAAATACTAATTTTGGTATGCATGCTATTATCGGAGTGGCTAGGAAAGCTGAAAGTCGTAGGCGGCTAGAGAGATAGATACGACCAAAGACGTCAAAGTTAGCTAAGCAAAATGCTTCGCATAAAAACAAACAAAATAATACCCGTATTACTTTATTTTGTTCTCATTTTTTAACATAGATGCATGCCTTCGAGAAGGCAAGAACGCGTTTTTGTTTTAAAGCAGTCAAGCGCGTGCGATGCCGAAAATGCCTTAACCAAGAGCGCATCTTCGGTTAAACAAGCGCTCCCGTCAATGTAGCGCCTCGTGCAAACTAACCACAGTATCGTTTATGTAATGTTACAATATCAAGTAACTTTTAATTTATAAGTTACATGACTGTTACAAAAGTTTCGTTCTGTTTTCTTCATGTTTGCATTCCATAAAGATTGAATTGGCAGTTTCATTTCCTTTTAAAAGTTGAAACACCATGATAGGCATTGTAACCTTTAAATTGTAACTGATAAAGGGCAGTGACTAATCCGTCAGGGGATTACACTATGGACTGAGAGTTTACAGATCAAGTGTACAATCACGATCTGTATTGTTAAAGGGTAGCTTTAGCAACAGGACAGTGGAAAATGCATAAACAGAACAGGTCGTGACAGTAGAAAAGTAAATCTCAGTAGCAGTGCTTTGGCATTGCGGTATACTGTAGAAGGCGATGCTGGGATATTCATTTAAACTGCCGTTCAATAGAGTGACCCTGCTTCCAAAACACGTAATTGATAAAGTGACATAAAGTTAAAATCCGAGCAGGCATGGGCAGCAAGGCCTTAGCCGGAAAAGTTTTTCAGGTGGTGGTCACCTTTTCACTTTCAGATAAAGCACTGAAATAGGGATTTCTCGTTTTGTATACCATGATAAAAATTTTATTTCGGGGTTGATTTGCACTGGGCCGGTGTCCCAGCCTCTGGTTACGCCACTGATTGGCAGTATCGCATGGACAAAATGACGTCTTACGTTGCCTAAATATGTTTGCAAAAGAACTGTCTAAGTAGCCTTCAATCTATTTTGCTTTTATGCCACGGGGATAATTAATGCACTTTGACTTGGGCGAGTTGGTACATTATTGGATAGGCTTCAGCGCAATTTAGACGAAAACAAATGGAGACACACAGAACACAAACCCACCTGCATTACCTATACACAGAAGAGCAAGATAAAAACGATGTAAATGGTACCCAAAATCTATAAGCAGAAAGAAAATGTAAATGCTTACAATGAGATCAAATATCAAAGATTTTGCACACTTATATCACACAAGGCAAACTGAACTTCAAAATCAAGATGGCGCAAGATTTATACTATAAAAACGGCACCTTCAAAATAAAAGCTGACGAAGAGCAGAGCAGGAAATGTTTAACTTGTGCTGGTGATTATTAAAGTGAGTTTCTAAAAGAAGATAAGAACACGCAAAGCACGTGGGGATGAAGCAATACATAACAACCGAGAGAACAGAAGTCGGCGTGACTTAATAAGACAACTCTTTCTTGCACTCCCGGTTGACCCGCGCTATACATAACCAAAAGCATGCAGAAGCAATAAAGACAACGCACAAGAACGGAATAAAGTAAATCAAAACAGTCCGTACCGGGGTGTGAAAACACGCTCTGCGAGTACAAACTAATTTTTGCCAAGGAAAACGAGCGTCAGGTAGAATAAAAGACAAAAACACAGAAAACCTTGCAAGAGAGAGACACTTAACATTAAACCATCTAGAAAGTCAGCCTCAGCGCCCATTAAGGTGACAGAAGGCATGCTTACACACTGATCACCAGCTTTTTTAGCGAAAAACGCTTCAACAATTTCGCTATCAGTCTTATCTTTATCTTTCGCTCGTTTTAAAAATTTGGTGGCGTTGAAATTTGGTGTGCAGCCACTACGCTTTCAGTACTCGGCTAGGTGGTCACCAGCTTTATTTCGTACATTCAGGTTATGGCCCTATGCACGTTCATTAAAACATGTGCCTGACTGCCCTATACAACAGTGTCCACATCTTAGGGGAATGTCACACACCTCATTCGACACACACTCAGTGAACCTGTTTTTGTGCCGAGTCAAGCATTGGGGTAACGCGTGCCGGTTAGCTATGCTGCACAATTTCGACAACTTACACGGGGCTGAGAAGACAACCTGAACATCGTGCTTCCACGCTGCCTTCTTGATGTTGTGCGAAATTTTGTGCATGTACTTGTATCTTCCTATTTTGATTCTCTCGTTTATTTTCTCCTTCAAATCCCGTATACATTTAAAGCAACGACTTGGAAACCTCAGAGACCAGAAACGATTGGTACCCTGGACTGCTCAAACATGTAACCTGATCTTTGAAACCTTTATTCACGCAATGTTCAAAGGACTTTTTTAGGGCGGATTGGAGACACTTCATTACTATTGCTCCCTTCACGAGTTTTGAATGAGCGCTTTCAATGAGAAGTAGGCCTTTCTTTGACCTCTGACTGAACTTCCAGTAGATTTCCTTCGAGGTTTTCTTGCAGTTTTCTTCTCGTTGAGGACACACAAGGCTGGAGCACCCCTTTGAGCCATCGTCTCCGAAAGAGGTACGTAGCAACGCCTCATCGCAGGATACCTACAGAAGCATCTTCATGAGTTGGTGAGCGGAGATCCTTTTTTAGTTAGGAGCTCAATGGACGTTGTGAAGCGTTTAGAAATTTTGCCTTGTGGTCAGTACACTAGATTTTCCATTGACATTGAAGAGTTGTAATATTCTTTTTCGCATCACGAAACACTAAGCGCCTTGTAAGTAAAGAAAGCAGCCTCGTGTGAGTGACTACCAGAGTGTAGCAAGAATACGCAATCATAAATTCTTAGGCTTGCTGGAATTTTACCTGAAGTCAACGGCTATAAAGTTGGAAGAGAATTTTTCTCTATTCAGAAACGAGGTATTAACACTGGTTGGTCAGTTACTCCAGCTCTTTGCGACACTTTCCTGTCAATCGTAGGAAAGTGCATTCAATCCCATAGTCCGGACTCACACGTAGTCAAAGGCTATAAATTGTAGATGTTCTTCATAATTTTAAAAAAAGTATGCAGCGAAGGGATCGAACGCACTGCGAAGAACATAGTTGATTATTTCATCAAATATAGCGCGGGTCCTAATTTCACTTGGGAGCCGCCAGAACAGAACAGGCTACAATTTCTGTACTTGAGCCTGCAGCTCAGTTCAGGGGCAATCTGTTGGAAGTTCATTCAGAGGTCAAAGAAAGGCCAATTTCACTTT